TCATCACAAGCTCTTGCTCATATGTTATTTCATTAAATTCTTCTGTGTCAGCAAATTCCTTCAGGTACAGTGACTGAATAGTCCTCCCATCTTCTTTTAATGCTTTATGAATCATTTAACACTCTGCCCAAAGCATCTTTAAGTGTTACCACTCATGACTTGAATTTGTTTTTTTAATTCCTTCAGCTTAAGAAATGCTGAGTGAGTTTAGCCCTTTTGTTTTCTGCCTCCAGCTCTTTGCACATTTCATTGTAATATCTTGTTTTGTCATCCTGAACTCCCCTTTGAAATTTTCTGTTCAGCTCTTTAATTTCTTCCTTTAGCTTTTTAAATATGTCATAGTATGTTTTTATTGTAACCAGTTGATAGCTCTATGATAAATGGAGAAGATACTGAAGCTGTTAACTGCTTGTTCAGCTTCATAATCAACACTCTTGGCATCAGCAGTCAGGACATCAAAAGACAAATTGCACGAGGAAAATCTGCTGCCAGGGACCTTTCCAGAGTATGGAGACGCAATGATGAAGAATTGATGCTTTTGAGTTGTGATGCTGGAGAAGTCTTGAATATACTATGGGCCACCAAGAAAACAAATACGTCTGTCTTGGAAAGGGTAAGACTAAGTGTGTCCTTCAAGGCTAGGATTTTGAAGCTCCAGCTCAAATGCTTTGGGCATATGATCGGGAGGGACTGGTCCATGGAGAAGCGCATCATGCTTGGAAGGGTGAAGGGACAGCACAGCAGAGAAAGAGTCCAGATGAGATGGAGTGATACAGTACCTAGGGCAATGGGGTGGTGTGTCAGAGACACTGAGACTGACTCAAGACAGAGCAGACTTCAGAGCTGTTGTATATAGTGTCATTATGAGTCCCAGACAACTTGACAGCATTTAACAACAACAAACAACTTATATTTAAATAGTATGCACTGGGTTTTTTGATATCTTCAGATAGATTGGCTATAGGACTTCTTTGAATATCAAAGTCCATGGAAGTTCAGCCTTTTATATAAAAATTGTATAATATTTGCATATAATCTGTAGATATCCTCCTGTACTTCTTAAAACATCTGCTCTCACTGTCTAGTGGTAAGAAGTTGTGCTCCAATGACACACAGTTCAAATCCACCAGTTGATTCACAGGATAAATATAATGCTCTCCTCCTGTGTAATTTACAGCCTCAGAAAAACTGTTGAGAGTCAGCTATGAGTTGGTTGCCATTCAATAGCACATAACAATATCTACAACTGCACTTTTTAGAAAACCATTCCATGCAATTTACAGTCTCTGAAAACTCATTGGAGAATCAACAACAAGTGAGTTCTGACCTGATGGCAATTAATTTGAGTTTGGAATGCAATGAAAATGCTATGTCAGTAGCACTTAATGTTCCCTTTGAATCATTGGAGGAATTGCTTTGACTCCTTATTTTTGATCTTCTCTTCATTGACTGTGAGAATTCAGAGCTCAAGGATATGGAGCAAGAACTGAATCTACTCTCTCATTTCAACATGAACATTTAATAAATATTTTAAAGTAAGTTCAGGATAAATTATCTTTTTAAAAAAAATATTTTCTACAGGAAATTGCTCATTTCCCAAGAAAGAATACATCAGAGGAAACTGAAACAGTTGGTATAATTTTGTTGACAACACAGAATTAAAACTAGAAGTTAATATTTCAACATGTGTCTAGGCTTAAAATATGGTACTACTTACAGAGTATGATGGCTAACTCAAATCTGTTGTCTTCCAACTGAGTAATGCTTGTCAACTAGAAGCAAATTAGTAAACTTTCCATTTCTCTTTAATCTAGAAATGCATTTAACATATGTTGAGTACTTTAATTAGCAACTCTTGGCACATCAAAGAGCGTTGTTCAATCTGGAAAAGACAAATCTATTTTTTTACAAAAATGTCTATTAAAATGTTTCCTTTATGTGATGTGAATTGCTAATTAAGAGATCTAAATAAATAAAGCACTTGATTAAAGATAGGAAGTTCAGTATAAGCATATTATGTGAATATGAGGATCTGATGAAGAGATAATGTTTTGGGACAAGTCATATATGTGTATGTATAGTTAACACGTAGTAAAATCCTTTGCCAGTGTAATCTGGTGCTCAATATCCCACTAAGTGAAGAAAGTTGAATGGCTCTGGAATGGAATCTATGTTCCTAGAACCATGAATTCATGAATGACCTGCAATATATCTAATCATGTATATGTTTATATGACATGTAAGTATATGAATGCCAGGACCAGAGTTCTTGATGATATAATCTACAATGAACAAAATAAATGGAAGTTTCTTAGAAGGTATGTCTTGTAAATAGTAAAGCAACCTTGAATATAATCTTTTGCAATTTTAAGATGAAAAAGTAATTTAATTTATTTATACATGCATACATAAAGCAAGATGAGACACAGCATCAGAAATTGTTATTTGGAAAGATTCAAGTTTAAACAAGTATATCTTTTGCAGAGAGAATGTGATGAGAAGAAAGATTTCAAGAAGTAAAAGGGTCAGCAAATGTTATTTGTTATGCAGACCTTTATGCTAGAATAATGTTCATAATATGGACATTCCAGGTGTCGGGAGATCACTTTACAGTATCTGGGTACAAAGGCTGGTCCACATTCTGGATAAAGTTAAGTCTTTAGTACACATTGATACATCTAGCAATGTGATAAAGAAACAACACACTTGATGTTGAGAATGAAATGAGTGTATTCCATTGTGAACACGTTACTGTTATTGATAGTTGGCCACCAAGTAGGCTTTGACACATGGTGACTCTGTGTGTAACAGATTGAAATGTTGTCAAGTTCTTCATTGCACCCATGATCAGTGTATGCTGGAGTCCTTTTCTGTGATCGAAGTTGATGTTAAGTGTGTTTCAACCCATGGACCCATCTTCTAGCACTAAAAAATATTCTGTTGTAATCTTTTGCTGGCTAAATTTCAAATGTAGGTCTTGTTGTTGTTGGTGTTGTTGTTATGTGCCCTTGAGTCGCTTGTGACTCATAGCGACCCTATGTATAAGAGCTCTAAATGCCATTCTATCCTGTGCGAACTTCACTGTCTCAAACACACGCATTCCCACCACTCCACTCACAGATTTGATCCATCTCATCGAGGGTCTTCCTCTCCTGTGCCGTCCCTCCACTCTCCCAAACATGATCTCCCCAACCAACAACCAGTCCCTCCTTGCAACATGCCCAAAGTATGTCAGACAGAGCTTCAGAATCCTTGACTCCAAGGAGCAGCCCAGCTTCACCCTCTCCAGGACAAACCTGTTTGTTCTCCTAGCAGTCTATGGTATATTCAACACTCTTCTCCAGCACCACAGCTCAAAGGCATCAGTTCTCTTTCTGTCAACCCTATTCACTGTCCAAATCTCCAATGCACAGCATGTAATTGCAAAAACTGTAGCCTGGATCAGGCACACCTTAGTCTCCAGTCTGATGTCGTTGCTCTTCAGTACTCTTGAGAGGTGCCTCACAGCTGACTTTCCCAATGCTGGGTTAGTCTCAATCCACAACTGAAACCTTGGATGCTGTGGGTGACCTCCTGGTATTTTAAATTCTGGATGCAAAGATTCTATCATACCTGCCATATTTCAACCAACTGACACATGCATGGTGGTTGAACACATTTCCTCAGTGTCGTCGAGTCCATTCTGACTCATAGAAACCAAAGGACTGAAATCACTCTGTAAGTTTCAAAGGTTTCTGTAGAGAAGCATGTTGCCACATCTTTCTCTAGCAGAGCGGTTGATCACTTTGAACCATCACCCTTCTGGTTAGTGCTGAGATAGTAACTAGTATGGTTTCCCTCTCCTTGTACAGAATATAAATCTAAATCTAAATAGGGATTTCTATAGATAAATGGAAATACATGCTATGGTTGAGTAAAGAAAGAATTCAGATCTCACAGTCTTGTAGTTGTTAGAAGTGTGGAATATTTCGTTTCAGATAAGACAGAGCCAATAGCATCTTTAGAAGTTACTAAGAGCAAGTCTAGGGAAAAGGACAGTGTAAAATGCACTCTTGGTGACAGTATCACTGGAGGAACCTTAGGAGAATTACCAAAAGCTGGGAAGAAAAATTCTTAAGTAGTAAAAATCCACTGAAGGGTCACATGAGTCATTTCCAACTCTACCATACATAACAACAATGAATACAGAAGCAAGAGATGAAATGCTACCCATATCCTGTAAGATTATTTTTTTTTATTACTTAAAGTTCTGTTATTGGACTAAGTGAGTTATGTCCTTTGATGCAATAGTTTGGATCCCTAACCTATATCATTTTTACTAATGTATAATTTATGCTGTTGATTTGGATTGAAGGATATTATAAGAAAAGATCAGTGCAATGTTTCATTGTGTCTAATGTTTTCTTTTTAAAATTAAATGTAATGCTTACTTACATACACAGTTTATTTTGAGCAATCTTTGAAAATATTTTACATAAAACTCAAGATGCATAACACTTCTGATACTGTTTTCAGTTATATTTTTATAGAATTTGAACTAAGTGATATATAATGTGAATCATTTAAGAGTAAATAACTCCTTTTTTGCATGTGCTACATTTTAGGTTCAAATTTAGGTACAAAGGCAATAGATAGACTTTACTGTGTCTGTTGTACCTTTACTGCTGACTAAAATCATTTCAGCCTATTAAAATGCCTTAGTCAGTGAGGTCAAATTGAATTCTATTGGATTAAATTGTACAGGTTTTGTAAAATGCTAAATATCTTCTTGAGAAACAAATGATATGAAAATTACTAACTTGATTCTGAATTTTGTGTATTATTTTCCAGTTATTTGCAGGCTTTATTCCATACCTGTTTAAAGGGTTGTCAACTTTGTGTTGTGTCGATGGATTCCATTGAACTGTGTGTTGTTGTTTTTTTCCGGCTGCTTCATTTACAACTAGCAGTGTCTCTCGTTGGCCAGTTTTGATTGAGAGCCCCCCCTCTTTTGTCTGCAGTGACGAGGACGGTGTGTGCAGAGCAATGTGATGGCAGGTGCTATGGCCCCTACGTCAGTGATTGCTGCCATCGAGAATGTGCTGGAGGCTGCTCAGGGCCCAAGGACACCGACTGCTTTGTATGTCTGGGTTCTCCTCCTTTTGTCTTCCCTCAGCCCCCATCCCTGCTCCAGTTTAACTCAGTTGCACTCAACCTTTGACATGTTACTTCAGTAAATTTACGGTTATTTGTCTCAGGATTAAGAAAGATGTTCTGCCTTCTGAGACATTTCCTTCTTAAATTGATTTTGATGAAGTAGAAATTTCTCTGTGGTAGTAAATGAATTGTGGGTGCTTTTTAAAATATATTTTATATGATGTGATATTTTTGGAGAATTTGAAGAAAAACATTTGAATATCATTTTGATCTATAATAGCATCTTTTCTACCATTTGCATCGATTGCCTGTTTATGTTGTTTCGTTGTTGAGTTCTATAGGTGGGTGCACTTGGGTCTTATTTCTTGAATACAAATCTCAAAATTATAGCAGATAAATGTACGGATTTAAGCACTTTTCTAGTTCATATTGTTTACAAGTTTATATTACTGGTGTGCAATTTCTAAGATTTGCAAATGTAAATTTAATGTAGTATTTATACTAGGCTTTTTAAATATTATTTTAGAAGAAAACACTTTTACTTCCTTAAATATAATATTCATAGCTTGAAAGGGAGACTTTTTAGTTATCCATCATAATATCCTTGATATATTGATGTTTGCCCTTATAAATAAATATATACAAACAGTTCTGTGACCCCTAGTTTAACCATGTTTCTTATATTTATACCATTAATTTATTAAGGTAGAAATCATTGAGATAACACATTGTTTTATTTTTAAAAATAAGCATAAGAATTTATTTTCACTATCCGTCCTCTCAACTCTCTACTGAATTTGCATACATATTTAGAATTGGAGTTTTAAAAAGCAGAGCTTAATTCTTCACACAAGCAAAACATACATCACAGCTATTATATAGATAGTAATTTTATAGTTGCCTAATATAATGCTTAATTTGGTTAAATTTAATAATTCAGCAAAAATATGTGCTGCAGGAGAGCATAGAAAAGAGGAAGAAGAAATTTAAAAAGTTAAAATTAAGGAAGTTATTCAGCAAATCTTGAACTAGACTCCTTGTCTATAACCAAAAATAAATGCTTTGTTTTAAGGCATATAGAACACTACGCTACTATGTTCAATTCAAAAAACCTCAACTCATTGCTGTCAAGTCAGAACCAACTCATAGCTAACCCGCTAGCAAGTTTTCAGAGGTTGTAAATCTTAAAGGAGGAGATTGCCCATCCTTTTCCTGAGGAACACCTCATAGATTCGAACTGCCTGGCTTGGAGTTAGCAGTTCAGCTCCTTATTCATTAGGCTATCAGAGCTCCCTGTGTTAGGAATTCCAAATCAAAAACAATAGATGCCGATATTTACAAACAATCAAACAAAAATTCTTTAAAGCTTTCCGTTCCACTTTTTTTGTTTTCATTGTCAAGAGTAGCAGAGAGCCCTGTGAGTTTCAAAACTCTCATTTGGTTACTTGTGTGCAGTGGTCCAATGATTCCACTTTGGCATTTGGTACAGATTGTTCAAGATTACTAGTCCATGGCTTTGGTGGAAGCTGCATTGCTTCTGAATGCTGTCTGGAAGGTAAATTTGTTTTACTCCTCCAGTTTTTGTTCCTTTGCTCCCAAGAAAGCTGTGCACAACACCACATAAAGTATGTTAGGAAAGCAATTACAAAGACATATGATGTTTTAGAGCCATAAAATAAAATTCACTGAGTTTTCTAGATTGTTTTTTAATAGATACTTCCTGGAAAATGTCATTTTAGTGAATAATGTATCATCAGTGAGTCTCATTCTGATTATGCATCTTGTAGACGATCATGAAGAAATTGTCAGGTTTATGATAAAGTACTTGCTAAAACAACAACTGATGAAGCAAATGCTTTGAGGAAACAGAATCAATTAATGCTTATTAATTACCATACATCCAATTTGTGATGAAATGCGTCTACATTAACTTGCCTTCCATGGCATAAATTATTCCTTGGAAAGTTTAATATTTTTTAATTAAGAGAATAAGTTGTTCTACTCTTTTGTTAATCACATTTTCAAGTGTAACATATGTTCTCTTTTTATATATAAATATCTAAATTTGTTTTTCATTTTTCTAAAACCTATTTGAAAATATTAATAGATTGAAATCTCAATAGAAATATGTATCAGCAAAATTAATTTTTGTCTTACTTGAACTTGATGGATTTAACTAAAGGGAAGGTCATTAGGGAAAAGATCATGCAAGGCATTGCAGCCTGTTATCTAATGACCACCTGACTGAAGGACCGCTTTACATTTTTGCATTACATCCACTCCCTCACTCTTGATGAGTCACCTGCCAAGGCCATTCTTTGATTCAGGTTTCACTGCCCCTCAGTGTCTGCTTACTGTAAAAAAGTGATGTCTGTACTTATTGTTTAAGACATTGAACTCTACAAATGCCACTTCAAAAAAAAAAGTCTAGCCTAGTGAAGGTTGAGTGGCCAATTCTAGATCCCCATGTTCAAACATGAATACTTTTGATGGAACAGTAAATAACTTTCACCATTTAAAAAAAATCACTACTTGTAGCTCTGGTGACATAGTCTGTAGGGAACTGTGCTTCTAACCCAAATGCCACACCTCTGTGGAGGTTCAAGTTCACCAGTGGCTCCAGAGGAAAAAGATGAGCAGTCTTCTCCCTTATCATTTACAGCATTAGAGCCAATGAAGGGTCAGCTCTGAGTTGTTTCCAACTCAAAGGCAATCTGAGTTTTTAAGAGAGCTAACTTTAGCAATAATTTAAACCAACTCAGTATAGATATGAGTGGATAGATACAATATAAATGCCTATAGAAATTACACATAGTTACTAACATTTGGAACTAAAAGTAAAATTTTAGAGGTCCAAATTTGTAAGTAAAAAATAAACACAATTGCCTTAGAAATGATACAGTTTTATAGTCTATATACATGTAAGCCAATATAATTGAATTATCTCAGTCATTCTTATGCTATTATCATGGAATTGATCTTAAGAAAATGTCTTAGAGGTTGTTTTTCCCTGGACACAATGTTTGCTGTTTTGCAGGCCTGCATGAATTTCAATGACAGTGGAGCATGTGTTACTCAGTGTCCCCAAACTTTTGTCTACAATCCAACAACCTTTCAGTTGGAACACAATTTCAATGCCAAGTACACATATGGAGCATTCTGTGTCAAGAAATGTCCACGTAAGTAACACAATAGCAACAAATCATTTTAAAATAAAACCAGTTCAATTTTAAATATGTAACAAAATTCTAACAATATTCCTTTGAATATGTATACTAACTCTCCCATTTGACAAATGCTGTTATTATGTGCCAACGAGTTGCGTGCAACTCTTAGTGATCCTATGTGCAACAGTGTAAACCCTACTCTATGCCAATCTTATTGTCTCTGACACACCTATCCCCCATTACTCATATCACTGAATCAATCCATCTCATCAAGGGTCTTCCTCTCCTGCAGTGTCCCTCCACCCTCCCAAGTATGACATCTCTCTCCAAGGACTGATCCCTTCTTGCAGCATGCCCAAAGCATGCCAGTTGAACCTTCAGAATCCTTGCCTCCAAGGAGCAGCCTGATTTAACCCTATACAGGATCAAACTGTTAGTTCTCTTAATAGTACATGGTATATTCATTATTTTTCTCCAGCACCACAGCTTAAAGACATCAATTCTCCTTCTATCATTCTTAGTCATTGTCCAGCTCTCTGAGTGATTGCCATGGCCTATATCAGGCACACTTTAGTTTCCAGCCTGACAACAATGCTCTTCTGTGCTTTGGAGAGGTCTCTGACAACAGACTTTCCCAGAGCAATATGTCTTTTAATTTCCTGGATGCTGGTGACAAAAGTGTTGACTGTAGAGCCAATCAGACTAAAGCTGTGAACAATCTCAATCTCTTCACCATCCATCATGGTGCTGCCAGTCACCCCAGTGGTGAGAATATTTATTTTCTTGATATTGAGCCTCAATCCATGTTGAAGGCTGCAGTCCTTAACCTTCTGCAGCTAGCGCTTCAGGTCATCCTCAGTTTCAGCAAGCAGGGTTGTGTCATCTGCATAACGGAGATTGTTAATAGACCTTCCACCAATCCTGATGCCACATTTTTCCTCATAGAGCCTCCTGGATAATCTGTTCTGGATATAGATTGAAAATGTATGAAGGTAGGACTAATTCCTGGCATATGCCCTTCCCAAGTTTGAACCATGCAGTATTCCCTTGCTTTGTTCTGATGATTGCCTTCTGGTCCAAGTATAGGTTTCAAATAAGCATGATCAAATTTTCCAAAATTCCCATTCTTCTCAGAGTTAGCCACAGTCTGTTGTGGTCCACACAGTTAAATGCCTTTGCCTAGTCAATGAAACACAGATAGATACTCATCTGGTGCTCTCTGGTGGAAAACTATCCAATGGAATGAGATCTGCTTGTAATAGTAATAAATTTAGAAAGTCTATAATAAATCTTAACTAAAATCCTTTCAAATTAGCTACTTACCCTGGAACATAGAGTTCTGGTGGTCTAATCATAAAGAACTGCATTGCCAATCCAGAGGCACAGGTTGAAATCCACTGGTTGCTATGCAGGAGAAAGCTGGGCCCTCTCTTCTATGTGATTTACAGCCTCTGAAAACTGGCTAGATGGTTGGTCAGCTATGAGTCAGTCCCAACTTGATGACATTTAACAACATCATAAAATTTAATATCATTAAGCAGCATTATAATTTTAATAGCAACCCTAATCTAAAATAATAACAATAGCTATAGAAAGCACCTTACATATTTTGTCTTGTTTTTAATTAAAGTAACAGCTCATCCAGTGACCAGCTGAATTGTGTTCAGGAATTCAGTATGATGTATGACTTGTTATTTACTCAAGTCAAGTTTTTCTGCTTTGGATAGCCAATAGGCTATTTTCCTATGGATTTACTTTTGAGAGAGAATGAAATAAAAATTACTGCATTTGTTCAGTACTCTAAAAAGGAGCAGCTTTACACTGTTCAGCTACAGTTAACCTCACCTTCTTCTCTCTACCAATCCTACTTGGCAGTCAGTGAGAGATGTGCAAATAAAACAGTTAGGGTTCTTGCTTTATTTACTTCTTTGTAATGTTATGTTAAAGATGCCATTTCAGATCTTGTTTCCCTCACTTTAAAATGTAAATAAAGGTAATCATATCCACTCTAGCTCAGAGTCCTTTGAAGTATCTGATGGATAGGGAAATTTGATCACAGGGGTAGTATATTAAAAATGCGTTTGAAAACATTTTTCTGGTCATTATTATATATTTCTGTATGCAGGTTAAAAGAGTAATTTTGTTTGGTTATCCTTATATCCATGTGTTCACATGCCTCTTAATTAGACTTTTAAAGTCACAGAGGATAATGGTAGAGCAGTAGAAATTGTTTAATCTTAAAATCATTACTGTCTAAACCTGTGGTTTTGATCTAATTTTCTATCTATCTATCTATCTATCTATCTATCTATCTATCTATCTATCTATCTATCTATCATCTATTTATCACTCACTATCTACAATCCTTGGAAAAATAGGCTCTTAAAAATATTATAGGATATTTTCTTTTCCTTACTTAAAAGGCTTGTTTTTTTTTACCCTCTTCAGATTGTGGTATCTCCCCTAAAAAACAATCAAAACAGTATGCTGGGTATTGGAGGAGGGGGAAAAGAGATTTGGGTTTGATTTTTTTTTAAAATACTTATTTTTATTTGTGTCTTGAGGTTAAAACTTACTTATGGTGGTCTGGATGAAGTACCAAGAATTCAGAATTCTAACCCTCTGTTTCCTATGCTATAATTTTTTTTAATAGCTCATCTAAAGACTTTCACCTCCACATTTTGGCAAGGGGTTCAACACAGAACATAATATAAAATTATTTGCCTATTCATCTTTATATAGGGTTGCCAACCAACTGTGTATCCTGGATTAGTTTAAGTATGTCAAATTACAGACTGGTTTTTTTTTTTTTACAGCTTTCTACTTTGATATGTAAAAGTAACATCTGGAGAAATTCTTGCCCACAGTATACAATTTGCCAAACTGGAAATGTTTTGGAAAACAAAGATATCTGTCTTCTTTGTCTCTGTCTCTGTCTCTGTCTCTGTCTCTCTCTCTCTTTCTTTCATCTTTCTATCATCTAACATCTGTCAAGATTTATGATCTTTTTTAAAAAAATAATGAATAATTCTGGAACATATCTTGCTGAATGACCCATGATTAGGTGCTTTATCTCTACCAGAAGCAGAAGTCAGAAGTTGTGTGTCATACTATATACAATTCTGTATTGCCAGTAACATAGTTTAGCTTTAAGTCTTGTCATTTTCCTAATTGTTGTTGTGTGCTGTAGAGTCAGAACTGGCCAATAGTATTTTTAGAGCCAGTTAATTTCACAGGAGGAGATAGCCTGTCCTTCTCCAGTGGAGGAGCTGGTGGCCTCGAACCATGTGCCTTCAGGATTATAATGTAGCTTCTTGCCTCTAGCCCACCAGAGCTTCTCATGACACATCTTTCTAATACTACTACTTGCAGCATAGTAAATCCTCTTATAGTTTTACTGCCAACCTAAAATTACATGGTTACAATCTTCCAGCTTCTCCACTGGAGAAAAATGGATAATCTCATTTCACCTCATGCTATTTATAGCCCCTGAAAACCCACAGTGCAAACTTGATGGTACATAAGAACAATAGCAAGTTAATTTGTGTAGCTTAACTAGCAGGGTTGTTTTCACTTTGATTTGGACCAATACCAAAAGGGCTTCTTAAACTGGATAATTTTAAGAGCCAAAATCATCTTATTCTACCGTGTATTTTACCAGAGTAGTGTCTCCAGGTGTGGAATATGCTGACGTCAAAACCTAAAGTAGCCTAACAAGTGTTAGCCTAAAAGTGGCTTCCCCTTTACTCTGAAAGACTTAAGATTTTGTAATTTGTCCTTTATTTACAAGGGTATATGCTGATATATACCGGATCATCGAACTCAAAATTTCATTGAAATTCGAGGTATTAAGATTTCCTGGTAATTTTGTTATACCTTCCTAAATGACTAGTCTTTCAAATTTAATCCTGAGTCTTTTTATAAAACAGAGGTTACTGTGAAATGCTGAACACATTTTAAATATGTCTCCTTGGATATGGAACATACTATTTTGATACTAGACAGCTTGACTTAAGTTTCATTTGTGCTTCATAGGACATGAAATATTTTTAGACCTCTAACTTGAATCATGACATGAAATGAAGTGGAACTATTGAAAAACACAAACTAAATGTCATGTAGTTTCCTAAATCTATAAAAGAAATTCATTCTATCTTGGAGCAATTCGGGATATGCTATAGTAACCAAGCAAGTAGTAGTTGCTGTTAACACTTGATATGCTCAGATTTGAATGTGGATGTTCAGAGAGATCTTTCTAGATGAGAATTAAGTTTCCATAGAGCAAAGATAAATTTTGATATAGTGAACATGACTATATTTAGATAAAAGGTTCTTAAAAAGGGATAGAGACATATGCACCAACAAGGACATTAATCATTTACAATACCTTGTTTTGAATTTGTTTATTGATTATTGATTATTAACATTACTGCTTACTTTATCTTCATTTTTTTTTTAACTAGATAACTTTGTGGTAGATTCCAGCTCTTGTGTACGTGCCTGCCCTAGTTCCAAAATGGAAGTAGAAGAAAATGGGATTAAGATGTGTAAACCTTGTACTGATATTTGCCCAAAAGGTGAGTGATAGCTCAAGTGAGTGATTGCTCAGATTATTCTGTCTCCAGATGGTGTCCATACCACTGTTTTCACTCACAGCCAAATGAGTTAGCTTCTCAGAATACATCCACTCATACAACAACCAACCCTTCCTATGTTAATTTTTCCATGACTCAGAAAGTTCCCCAGATGCAAGTGTCATTAGATTGTGTACTCCTGATTTTGAATGGTACCAGTGAAGTTGTGCCATACAAAACTTAGATTCAAATTCCCCTAGGAAATAAACAAAATTACGCATTTACATATCTATATCTCAATATCTATATCTATATCTATAACTATATCCATATCCATATCTATATCTATATCTATACCTATCTATATTTCTACAGATATAAATATATAGATCTATCTATTTTAGCTATCTATAGAGAAGTACATACTATATACAAAATAAGAGTGTATATGACTACTTTAACATTATGTACTATAACGACAACAACTTTAACATTAATAACACATAATTATTATTTTCTACAGTATACATAATGCTCTGCTAATCATGAAAGGAATGCAAAAATACATAGAGCATGTTAATAATTCTCAAGGTCTTAAAATATAGAAAAAGACAAAGGTGTTTACCCATTATATGTGGTGGTTTTGTTGTTGTTAGGTGCCATCGAGTCAGAGACGACTCATAGCGACCTTATCAATGAAAGACCTGGATACCTCTATAACTTTTGTCCTCTCTCCAGGTTCATAGGGTTCCCAGAGGCAAGCTATTATGGAAATGGATGCCACTCCTGTTTCCAAGCTTGTTTTAATTGGGGAGCTCCATCAAACACCATCCACCATGGGTGACCATTCTGTTGACTCATCAGTGTCACAGTGTTCAGCTTCACAGCAACCACGAGTTACTTCTGTACAGCAAGTGAACATACCAGGGTTATACGACCTAGAATAATGCTTAACCAAAAACAAGTAAAGGCAAGCCTGAGGATTGGAGTCATCCACCTTTGGCTTGGGAGCATGACTTTCTGTCCACTGGCCAAATGACCTCTCTCTATGCTGTTGTTGTTGTTGTTGCTGCTGTTGTTGTTGTTAAGTGTTGTCAAGTCGGAGGCGATTCATAGCGACCCTTTGAATGAAAGACCTGGACACCTGTATAACTTTTGTCCTTCCTCCAGGTTCATATAATTCATGCAGCTGTGGTGCTAAAATTTCTCACAAGAATGAAACGTAAATTAAGCAGAGCCAAAGTACAATACAAACTTCCTGAAAGTGTTCTTGTTATATGCTTTAACACTGACTATGACTCTTAGGAACCTATAAACGATAGCTCTGAACTTAACTCTTATCCTTGCCAGCTTCACACTTTCTTACACACTCGACCCCATTGTCATAGTCACTGTGTCAATCCATCTACTCAAGGGTTTTTCTCTCTTGCCTTTACCTTCTACCCTCCCAAACATTATGTCTTTGTCCAAGGACTCGCCCCTTCTAACACTATGCCCAAAGTATGTAAAACAGAGCTTCACAATCCTTGCCTTGAAGGAGTAACTTGATTTCACCGTCTCAAGGATACGCTTGTTTGTTCTCTTGGTAATCCATGATATGTCCAATACCCTTCTCTAGCACCACAGCTCAAAGGATGTGATTCTTCTTCTGTCATCTTTAGTTACTCCCCAGCTCTCAAATGCATAGCAAGAAATTGAGAAAACTGTGGCATTGATCTGGCACTTTAGACTGACATTGTTGTTGTTTAGCATTCTGGAGAGGCCCTTGACAACATATTGTCCCAATATAACTTCTCTTTTGATTTTCTTACTGCTGGTGTCGAAAGGCTGCTGTGAAATGGTTGTGAAAGGGTGATACAAAGAGTTGTGTAAAAAGAACAAATGCCATGTGAAGAACACCATATCTCACAGTTATCAACTTCACAGAGGAAACCATCCCTGTCCATAGCATCAGTAACACAATACTAATTCCCAGGAGGTCAGACACGTCCTCTGTGCTCCCATTCCTTGTTCTACTCATCTCAACACAGATCTTACTGCTTTGGTGAGTCCAAAATCCAAAACTACAGCTCACAGTCACACAGAATCTTACTGGGAAGGTCAAAAGGGTATAATTCAGATTCATACAAAAATACAGTCAATATATCTCCCAAAATGTGTACACAAGCACCTAAGCCTAGCGCTTCCTGGCATTCCCAAGTCCTCAGTCCTGCCAATATTGGCTTCCCTCCCCTGGATGTCTGACAAAGTTCTCAGCAGTCCTGCCATTATTGCTTCTCCACTCATTTGTCCCTCAGAGTCCTCAGTTCTGCCAATATTGGAACACCCTCCCACCCTCTACCCCTCACACCTTCACTTCCCGCCCTCCAAGATCTCATCTCATCAATTTTTCAGCTCAGCCATGACTGCAGCTGCCTTTTCTAAAGAAGGTCTCTCTCTCTCTCTCTCTTTTTTTTCCCCCCTGGTGGGAGAAGAGCCTCTACACCTAGAGCTGCTCACTTTACAGGAGATACTAGCCAGTCCTCTTGTAGAGTGTTGAGTTTGGCGAGTCCCCTTGCAGATGGGCCAACATGCCTCTCTCTCCCACAGTCCCACCCCTCCACATAGTCAATCATCCATACTAGAAAAGCCGTATTCAGAGCCAAACTCCGCAAGTGGTGATTGTGGATGCAAGTGAGAAGAAATAGTTAACAACTTCAATCTTTTCTTCATCTATCATAATGCTGTCTATTGGGCTGATGGTTAGGAGTTTTGCTTTCTTGATGTTGAGGTCCAATCTATATTGAAGACTGAAGTCCTTGATCTTTTGCAGCAAGTGTTTCAAGTCCCCTTCAGTTCCATTATGCAAGTTTGCCCAAAATACGGAAGTGTATGTTAGAAAAGGACAAATTTTAAACTTATATACCATATATACATAAAATGTACATATACATATACATACAGGGTTTTTTTTTTTAATTAAAATTGTTAGAAACCTTTGGTGATACTCAGGTTAAGAGTACGGGTTTACATGGCACTTGGTTCTGGTTATGATGCACATTACTAGTGCCTGGGGTTTTTCCATGCTACATCTCTATTTCACTACTGTCTAAAATTACAGATGATAAACTATTTATGACTTATAAAATTGTTCTCTAAAATTACTTCCCTTTAAATATATTCGTTTGTAGTAGAGTAAAAAAAATGGATAATTGGGTTTAATGAATAACTTATTATTTTATAATGAAAATGTTTATCCACTCGGTATTGTTTTTTGCAGCATGTGATGGGATTGGCACAGGATCGTTGATGTCAGCTCAGACTGTGGATTCCAGTAACATTGACAAATTTATAAACTGTACCAAGATCAATGGGAATTTGATCTTCCTTGTCACTGGCATTCATGGGTCAGTATTTGATATTTGTACAAAATGATTTTACAATGTGTAGTCAAAGCCAAGGAGATTCCTGATCTTTGTCAGTTTAAATATTTTAGACCAAAAGATTTGCTCTTTATTAATGTTTTCCCTTAAGAAACCAAGTGCCAAATTTTATTAGCAGTGATTGTAAACCAAAAATGTGGGAAACATCTTAATTCTGTGTTTGGTGGCTACTTATGTCTCCATATACAAATTTGAACCTAAACCATGTGTAAGATATTTCCTAACACATAGACTTCAGGATAGACTTACTTTTAGTTTAGAGATAGGCCATCAATAACTGTGGTAGAGACTTTCTTTCAAATTCTTATGTGATTAGTTCAAGATAGTATAAGTTGATACTTTTATAAAGAAAATAATTGCACATACTTAGAGTTATTCAGATATTCTTTCAAACTGAAAGAGTATTTTTCTCTTTTTGCTTAAAATTGGGAAGTCAGTAGTACTATAAAAGATCTTTTTAATGAATTTCATTTTGATCACATTAAACAAAAACATTTTTCAGAGGTTCTTCATAACAGAACCACTGCTGACTTTAACTTGAAAAATAACCAAATTGTCTTCTTTGAATTGTAATAAAAATGTCAATATCTTTATTTTATATGTTATCTATTACATTGTATTACTTCTTAATCTCTAAATATTAGTGCCATGGGCTACAAATAAAGAAAATCTTGCAAATAATTATATTCAAAATCTTACTCTGAGTGTGCATAACATCATTTCTAAATGCAAAATAATTTAGAATATAGTGAATAAATATGCTCATATAAGAACAGCAAGAGCAGAGAACAAAATGTTTATCATTTCATCCAAAGATATTTGTGTATGTATTATTGCATAAAATATTTCTTTAAATTGAAATGTTGGTTTTACACAGATTAATATGTATCATGTGTTCTCAAATGTGTTATATTTGATGCATCAATTTTTTTTTAAATATTAAGATAATGATTTCTAGATTTTCTTGCAAAATAGACATACTTAGTGTGTCTTATTCCTAAATGATGGCAAGCAACCACCGAAACAGAGTTTGAGTCACTGAATACGTGGAAAAGGGACACATTCTCGTTGGTCCTCCCTGGAGGAGAGTCCTTGGCAACAATGTGTTGAATACTTTGGTTAAACTCATGTTTATACAAATAAACACACAGAGTATTGATTGAAACAATGATTAACTCACATATTAACTCTTTTATATAATAAATTGAAGAGTAGATCATGTTAATAATGGAATTTTCTGTAAATTTAGAAGATATAGCTGTTTGTTGCACATTACATTGCTTGCTCGGCCTGGAAATAATAAATTCATTGTTTCATTGACTATAAAAAGTATCCAGCTGGGTGTGTTATAATAAATTACATACACTGTAATATGTGCTGACCAAATACATTAGCAAACAATGAAGCTGGAGTATCTAAAGAAGAATGTTTCATCAGAATTAGAGGAAAACTCATCGATAACCTACATTATGCATACAGTTTATGATTGCTCATGGGAGGTGAAGAAGACTTGAAGTACTTACCTAAGAAGTTCAAAGATTACAGTGCTCAATATGTATTGCACCTCAACATCAAGAAAGCAATAATGGACCAACAGGCAACACTGTAGTAGTTAAAGAAAAGATTGAAATTGCCAAAGATTATGTTTTACTTCAGTCTACAAACACTCATGGTAGCAGAGCAGAACTCAAAAAAATCAAAACATGTTGCATTGGGAAAAGTTGCTGTCAATGACCATTTTAAAGGCTAAAGAGCACCAATATCTACTTAAAGGTTACAAGTCATGGTATTTTCAGTTGCTTTGTAAATATGTGAAAGCTTCACAATGAATGAGGAAGATCATAAAAGAGTTGATGCCTTTGAATTACAGAGTTGATGAAACATATCAAACGTACCATGGAACTCCAAATGAACAAACAGTTTGTCTAGGAGGAAATGCAACCATCAGCTGCTAATGATATGCTGCTGCAAATATTAAAACCTAGGCAAACCCTAGGGGAATGCTGATAATATAGCTCATAATGTGTTGAGTTGCTAGCCAAAAGGTCTACACTTAAAATTCTTCAGTTAGGAGAAAGATGGGTGGTTATCTTCTATAAAGATTTCTGTTTTTAAGTATTTAATGGGGAGTGCCTATAAGAAAGAACTGACTCAGCTGGAAGTGTGAGGTTTGGTTTGGAAAAGAAACTATGTGGGATAGTTGAGAAGGCGGTCACTATGGATAGAAATTGACTCAGTGCACACAATGTAAATTATTATTTTTGTTAAATGTCATTACGTTGACCACAACTCATAGGTAGGGACCCTATGAACAGTAGATATAAGTTCTGGCCCTGCTGTATCTTGTGCCATCCTCACCATCTCTAACATATTCGAACCCACCATCTCAGTCATTTTGTCAGTCCATCACAGTGAGAATTGTCTTCTTATTTGAAGCACCACACTTCAAAGTATAATGTCCTTTTCCAGGAAGTGGCCCTTACTAACAACATGCCCAAAGTGTGTAAGACAAAGTTTCCCTCACTATCGTTGCCTCCAAGGAGCTTCCTGGCTGTACTTTTTCCAAACATATTTGTTTTCTTTATCCTTTTGGCAGTCCATAAGATATTCAGAATTCTTCTCCAAAACCAATAAAAGGCATGGATTCCCTTTTTCTGTCATTTTTGTTCGTTGTTCATCTTTAAACTCTGTAACAAGTAATTAAAAATCTCATGGTTTGGATCAGGTGCATTTTAATCTTGAAACTGACGTCAGTGCTGATGACATGACCTAATTATATACATATTTAAAAAGTAGATGACCATATATACTTTCATACAATAGGACAAACAAGAAAACTAGCTTAATTGATAGGAATACAGTGTAACTAAATATAGTTTTGGTGCACATACCATAGACTGCCAAATTAAAAATAAACAAACAAAAAACTAAACAAAAACACACAAATACGTTTTTTTCTTGGTGAGGGAAAATCCAAGTCTCTCCTTGGTGGCTAGGATTTTGAACCTCCACCTCACTTAATTTGAGCAGGTGGCCAGGAGAGATCGGTCCTTGGAGAAGGACATCATTCTTGTTAGGGTGGAGGGACAGTGCAGGAGAGGAAGACCCTGGATCAGATGAATTGTTATAGTAACTGGGGCATTGGGGGTTGGTGTGTTGGAATTAGTGAGACTGGCTCAGGACAGAAAAGCGTTCAGAACTGCTGTACATAGGGTCTCTCTATACATCGCAGATGACTAATGACACATAAACACAGTAACATAACAGGTTTGGAAGCAGGGAGTGGCTCCCACTTCCTAAACAGCATACCTTCAGAAACTCTATAAACTATGTTAAATGTCGATAGTTGTAGAGAAGCTTCAGGCCTTTTGTTCATAATGTCGCTATGAGTCGTGTTCAACTCAACGGCATTCAACAACAAGGTGTAGTAAACAATGTAGTTATGACGTTTATAAACTAAATCCCAACTGTCTGTCGGGACAATGGAAGACTGTCCAAAACAGAAGTTAATTCTTTGCTGTGAGAAATAGCCTTACAGAGGCTTACAAGTCATTTAAATAACTGTCCATAAGTTGTTGCTGTATGTCTGTAGTATTCCCCAACCTTTGTCAACCAAAACACTTCTAAAAAGTCTCAGTTTCCATTAAGCAGCATGATACTGGATCTAAAAATAGCCTCAGGGGGAATTTGACCACAAGAAGAATGTTAAGAACATACAAACTGATCTGTTGGTTAAAAAATATAGATAAAATGTCTTTGGGACAAGGTTGGAGGGGAGGAAGATATCAGACAGTGTTTCATTCTGTTGCCTAGAAGGTTACTCTGAGTTGGAATCAATTAAGTTTCACCTAGTCAGAAAGATTCAGAAAAATTCGTTAGTCTTGGTTCATCATGGAACATATTTTAAAACAATTTTCATAATGAGATGCATAGTGACCATAGAGAGGCCATAGTACAACCATCCCTTTGGGACTCAAAGAATGAAAATCTTTATGGAAATAGATCCCCTCATCTTTCACCTGTAGAATACCTTGAGGATGTCCCCCACTAAACTTTTGGTTGGTAATCCAATGTTCCTTATATAAACTATCAAACCTATTCTACCTCAGTCTCATGCCAGCATACAATATACATTCTGAAGGATTTTTTTTTTCTCTTCATGTTATGAAGTTATTTACATAACACTAATTCAGTCTATTGAAGGCATGTGTGTATAGGAATATATATGTCCACGTGTGATTTGGGGTTTGTGTATGTATATATCTATATCTGCGTCTACCTTTATCAAATGAAAAAAATTCAGATTCATTGTTGTTGACTCACTTGACTGATAGCAAGAACTGTTTCTGAGACTGTAAATCATAATGAGAAGAAACAGCCCATTTTTTCTCCCCCATGGAACCCTTAGTGGATCTTAAGCATCAAAGAATTGTGGCCTTTGGGTTAGCACAGAACACACTGTGGAGGATCCCACCAGACTTTTCTCTCCGATACACATATCACTGTCTCATTTCCATCAATTAGGCATCAACTCAGAGCTGAACCTCCACTGAGTTTCTGAACCTGTGAGGAGATTGACTGTCCTTCTCCGTGGAATTAGTGGTAGGGTTGAACTGCCAGAGGGATGTCGCTTTTGAGTTAGCATCAGAGCTCCTCCTCTCTATAAAGATAAGAAAAATTAGAGGCAGAAAGCATACAGTAAAAAGGAAACATTTTGTACCACTTAATTTCCACTATCATTAAATAATCTAAATAAAACTTAATAGGAGTGTTTGAATGACAATATCTTGAGTATTCCTCTAAACAAATAAGAAAACAAAATCATAATTAAATCAAATTATGCTTTTAAAAGGGCCAAGTTTCTAAAAATATATTTATTGGAAATGAAATACGTTATTAATGTTTTACTGTATAAAAAAGCTTTGCCAATCTAATGAACATGTTCAGTTTGTAGTACAATAAGTGCCCTTGTTCCAGGACATAGGTTGGGCATTTTTGACTCCTTAATAAAATCACAATTGCATGCCAAACTCAATTGTTAGGATTTTCAGTAGAGATATTCCTTTTTTGTTTTCTTATATTTTCCATTGTTCATATACATGTGATTTGAATAAAACCATGTCCACTAAATAAACATTTTGATAATATGTCACTTTGAATAACAGTTTATATGATAGACTGTAAATGATAGACAAGAAAGGAGAGATTATACAGGTTTGGTGGTAAAAATAAAGGCATTTCAGTAGAATTGTGTAAATAATATCTTTTCTTTCTCTGATTCAGCTTTATTTTCATCATACGATGACAGGTTGGACATTATGTTTTAATGGCTTTGTATTTAGCAAGTAAAGTTCTTGATATTAAAGTGCTATGGATTTCGTGACTAGGATGAAACGCCTAGAAGGTACTTTAAGTTGGCAGTGGAACTCCAGGAACTTATTTTTATGAGAATCTTGAATCTTTACAATTAAATGTATAAAAATTATGTGATCTGTTGGACTTCAGGCAAACTGTCCAGAATTTATTGCATTTTTGGAAATGCCCGAGTGTTTTCAGGAGAGAATGAGTCTAGCCTCATCTTTGTATGCTTTCCATGGATTTTGAGAAATTCTCAGTAAAGCCAGAGGTTGTGATTATGTTACTAGAATTATTCCACACACTGGCTTTCAAGGAAAACCGAATCTTGAGAGTTCATTCTTTTACTGCTAAGTTGATATTTCCTATGCACACAGACTTAGCATTTTAAAAAAGAGAACAACATGTTTTCTCACAGGGAAATCTTTAAATTGGGCATCATATTCTTCAAAAGCATAGATATTCTCTCTCTCTTGTTATACACATATACACACATTTTATGGATTATATTCTTCCTCAATTAAGAAACCACACTCTTCTTCTATAAGTGTATGTAATATATTTGTAAATCTCTTCAGCATTTTCAAAGTTGAATCATTCTTTTAGATTCAGAATACCCTCTGATGGACTCGTGTTGCATATCAGTTTAGAAGAGATATGTTTAATATTCTATATGCTAAATAAAATAAACAATATTTTAGGCTAGTAATATTGCCACATTTGTGATATTTTTACTCCTTTATATAATTTTAATTTGACAGTCACTCTTTGATCTTCTAGGGATCCATATAATGCAATTGAAGCTATAGATCCGGAGAAACTAAATGTCTTTCGTACAGTGAGAGAGATAACAGGTAACGTGTAAAAGTCCTATTGCTTTGTTATATGAATTTTATTCATTGGAAATAATTTATAGTGATGGGATCAGAAACTAATTTTCAAGCAATTCTCTGTTAGTAAATCCTTTTTTATGTATTTTATTTTTGTTTAAATGGTAGGTGTCTAACGTCATGGCTTTTGAGCATTTTTAGAAAACACATAGAATAATAGATAAAAACTACCTAGTAAGTTTTGACATGATAATTTTTGCATATGTCAGCTGACGCTTGAACTTGAGCTATTTCTGTTGTTTTATCTTGTTTACATACAGAATTCTCAATTAGTCATGTCCTTGTGGTTGCTGCTATGTACTATTAGGTGAGAGTCTCCAGCAGGTTTTCAGAGACAGTAAATCACACAGGAGGAGATTGCCCGTCTTTCTCTAGCTGAGCAGCGGGTGGATTCACATCACCTACATTTTCATTGTCAGCACGATTCCTTATGCACCGTAGTTTAGTGATGGGGTTAGGAAAAAAAAAAAGTTCTTATGTGAAAACTGGTTTTGTGTAAAAATAGAGGATAACTACACCGGACCACAAAATAGAGGATGATTATATCATTATTCTGCCAAATTACATCATTGAATCATTGTTACATTTCATCATTATACAGCTGCCCAATGATATTACTACGTACATGCAAAACCACCAAAAATCAGGGTCAAAACAAGTTGGCATGTTAATTTTATGTTGTTAATATTAAAAAATAAGTAGTACTTCTTATTTTACTGTAAGTTTCAATATTAGATAATTATATAGTCCATTACTGAAGAGTAGAAGTATAGGAGTTATTTAGCACATATTTTATTAATACCTAATGTAAAACATTATGAAGCAGGAGTGGCATCTACTTCCTAAATAACGTGCCTCTGGAACCTCTATGAAATTTGAAAAATGTTTATTGTTGTAGATGGGCTTCAGGCCTTTGTTCATAGAGTTGCTATGAGTCCAGCTTGATACTAATGTCATAAATGTACACTTATGTTAGAAAGGTACAGATGAAATTTTTTGAGAAAAAGCTGAAGTTACAGTTTTCTTTTTATCTAGTAAGACTTTTTATTTTCAGTAAATTAAATCAGAGTAAGAATCATTTGACTATTTTAATATATACAGTTTTATGTTTTCACAGGTTTCAGAAACATAAATTATTAGGGGTTTTTAAAGCTCAGTTAGTGAAGTTGCATTGCTAAAGCCAAAGACTCACCTTTCAAGCTACTCTGCAGGAGAAAAATGGTTTGTAGCCCCAGAAAATCCACTGATGGGTCAACTATAAGCTGATTTCAACTCAGTCGTAATTAGTTGAGTTTTTTAATCCAGAAGTATTATTGATACAGTTAATCTTAAAGAAATAAAAGATAGATTGATTTGAAAAAATAGGAATGTACACTGTCATTTTTAGACCTTCCTTCTCTCATACATATTCATGTCATATTTCAAGAATAATCATTATAAGTGCTATTATTATGACTAAACACACTGAGGGGTTTTTTTTCTGTCTTACTATTTTATAGGTTTCTTGAACATACAATCATGGCCTCCAAACATGACTGATTTCAGTGTTTTTTCCAACTTGGTCACTATTGGTGGAAGAGTACTCTACAGGTAAGTGTATATTGTTGCAGGTGTTAAAAGTTGCAGCCCTCCCATAAGCATAAGATACTATGTCACAACACTCAGCCTCATTTATTTATGTGACATAGAAATTCTATGTCATTGTTATGTGCTGTTAAGTTGCCTGCGACCCATAGCAATCTTATTTAAAACAGTCTGAAGCCTGTTCTGTCCTGAGCCAGTCTTACTGACTTTGACACATCTACCCTCATCTCATTACCTCAGTTACTGTATCAATTCATCTCATCTGGGGCCTTCCTCTCCTACACTGTCCCTCTACCCTTCTAAGCATGATATCTTACTCCAAGGACTTGACCCTCCTGGCCACATGCCCAAAATATGTGAGATGGAGCTTCAGAATCCTAGCCTTCAGGGAGAAACTTGGTTTTACCAACAAATATATAAAAATTATTATCTAAAATGTATGAAATTGTTTGGAAAAACAAAGGATATAATATGTATGGAAAAGATTTCATGTATGTGTTTTGACCTAGTATGAAATTATTAATCAGAAGACAAATAATAAGAAATATATTTTCAGAAAGTGATATTTATCTCAGGTAGTGATACATACAGTATATCCAAATTAGTTTTCAAAATACCATTTATTTGAAGTGTGATCCATGTTTTCCTGGTATGGAGTAGATGATATAAACCATAAAACTAAACCACTGTCTTGATGTTTTCATTATTGAAAGGCGGCATTTTGTGATTTGAAAATGGGTCAGATATGCAAGATACTATTATTACTAGACCAGAGGGTCTAATCTCTGTTGTCATCATTAGCACCAAGCATCGAACTGGTGTTTCTAAATTGATCAGTGATCCTACATAGAGTGCTAGTTACTACATAGATACGGAAATCGTAAGTTAGAATGGCACTGTTCTAAGGTTCTAATGGCAGTGTTTTTTTAATTTAAATGATAGAAATATATCGATTATAGGCCTTAAGAGCTATTGCATTTATTTATTTTTAATTTGCTTCAGAGGTCAGCTTTAAGAAGTGCTTATTTAGAATAGCTACCATAAATGTAATAAAGCTATTTCTATCTAATCTGTCTTTGCTTCTAAAAAAGATAGCTAAAATCGATAGCAATTAAATATTCTATAATATTGTTTTCCACAAAGTATTTGTACATTTAAAATTAAAATGGGTAAAATGGAACAGAGTTTAATTTTTTAAAACGTGAAGAAATAAACCTAATCAAGTATTGCATACTAAGATAATTCAAAGATATTAGTGCAAAATACTAAAAGTAAGTCAAAACATTGTGCTGACATGGTCTTCATTCAAAAAGTCAAGAAAGTCCTAAGGGGAGCAAAATTTGAGAAAATACATTACATCATAATATTAATCATTGAAGAACTGATTTATGTATATAGCATGTGAAAAATAATTCTTACAATTAACAGCAAATATATTTAGAATTGGAAATTAAAGAGGACAATTGTGGGTTTTTTTAAGGTACATCTTAGTCATTTTTAATTTTTATTTTTTACTGGTTTGTTCACAAAGTCCATATACATTATGTTTCACACTATTCTTCATTCATATTATGTTTCATACAGTCTTTCCCATGCATTATGTGTTTGTGTATATTTTTATTTCTTGCCATTCATTGTTTTATTTTATTTTATTTTTTATTTTCCACTACTTTACCTACAAAGTTTTTATACATTGCCCCTCACACTGGATCTCCCCTCATCTCCCCCCAACCATTAAATCGTGCAACCCTTGATTGATTGACATTCTGGGAAATAGGTAGAGAAAAAAATTTGTAGATAAGTACAAATAATAGATGCAAGTAAAATATAAAACTATTTCTTTAAAATGATAATTAGACGCTACAGTTATTGCAAATAAGTATAAAGAAGTTTTCCCTAGTTCTCCAAACCTGAATATTTTTTAAATTTTTGTGTAATTTAATTCTTTAATTTTAAATCATCTTCACTCCTTACTTACACTTTCTTTAGCTACTACAATTACATAACATTAATTTTGAGCTATAAGTTAACACTCTCTCTGAAAGCACATCTACATCTACCATATACCTATGCCAATGTTAATGGTTTACTCTGAGTAGATGAGCAATCATTAAGCAAAAACGTATGCTTAAAAAGGATTTTGTCCTTGACGAAATCACAAAGTCAGGGAAGGTTAGGCAGGAAGTAAGTATTTCACTGGTGAACATATACAGATAAAGATATATCATCAATATGCATAATTCTAAGAAATGGACATTTTCCTTTTGAGGCTCAAGTTGTCACTTTTCAAGCTGGCAGTCTTTAGCATGTAAAATACTGCCATTCTGAACATACATTTATTGATTCAATTTCTGTTTATGTTCTTTTAACATAATTTTTGGAGGACAGTATGTCATCCTTATTTCACTTCAGGAATGCTTTAAAACCAGAAATATTTATTGTTCTTCCATTTTTTCCTGTCTCCTTTTAGTGGCCTCTCCTTGCTTATCCTCAAGCAACAGGGCATCACTTCTCTGCAGTTCCAGTCTTTGAAGGAAATCAGTGCAGGGAACATCTACATAACCGACAACAGTAACTTGTGTTATTATCATACCATTAATTGGACAATGCTCTTCAGTACTCTCAACCAAAGAATAGTTATCCGGGACAATAGGAAAGCTGAAAACTGCAGTAAGTACAGTCCTTCAGCATGAAAACATAAAGCATTTGCACATTTTCTCTGGTTCTACATTTGTTGTTGACAGGTGTATCCTAACTATAGAGGATTTAACCTGTTAGGGTCTTCCTCTTTTTTTATTGACTCTCTACTCATCCAATATGGTGTGTTTTTCCAAGGATTCTTGATAATGTACCTAATGAATGTGAGATACATTTTTATTGTCTTTAAGTAACATCTTTTTAGTACTTCTTCCAGGGCATATTTGTCAATTCTTTGTTCTTTTGAAACTTGTTGGTTGTTTTGGTCAAAAAGTTAAAAATGACAGTGAGTCTGAAGTACTATTCTTTCTTAACCCTAAATGGAGGTAATTGGGTCATTGTATAAAGGAATTCAGAATGAGTGATTTTTTTTTATAAGCATTTCTGAAAACTTGCCTATGGAGATTTGAATTAACTAAATCTAGATTAAACCTGGAATTTGAATTTTAAATAAGCACCTAAGATTATTCCTTGGATGAAACCACTTCTGTGAAATACATTCATGAATTTACAATTGTATTTTGGTTTCCTATACCTAATACAGTAGGCATACCTACAATCCTATTATCACTGTAAAATATTGAGAACTGATATGGGAAAGATTTATTAACTTAAAAGAGTATGTAGTTCCTTATTTGTAAATTTATCTTGGCATTAAGTATGGTTTAAAATGGTAATAACAATAACATAAAAATGTCATCTCTGGAGGGTATTAAAGGAAAGTATCTTTTCTGAAAAACAATGTATTCAAATTTGATAAATAAATCAGTATAAAATTTTTAAAAATGTCACCTTACTGATAAAGGGGGAAAGTGACTTAAGGATTGTTAGCATTTAAAGTCAAACATTTCAAAGCAAACTTTATGGTTTGAAGAGATTCAGATTAAGAGAAAGACCATGATATGAAAATCTAGACCATTTCCTGCATCTTTCATTTATGTGACCATGCCTATAACAAAATTGTGGTGCTGGTTAGAGGGAGTTTGAGGTTGGTTTGTAATAGTATTAGAAGTTTCTTAAAATATTTCAGCATAATCTTGTAATACTGAAAACTGTAGCAACACACTGTGTCAGAATATAAATTAAAGTAGAACTCATATACATCTTGTATCTTAAAAACATTGTATCATAAACTTAAGTCCAAGGTAATGAGATAAATTTGCTATTAGCTTAATGAAATAGAAATGTGCTTATTTTTTAATTACAGCAGTAGCTTTTTTATTTCTGGAAATCAAAATGCTTAAAGCACATGCAGAAAAGATAGTTTGACTCTGATCCTATTGTTACTCTTTTATTAACTATTCTTTTATTTCATTAGTTTCCACTGACTATGATAATCCCTTGTCATAATCCAATATTTTGCTCTTTTAAACCTACCATTCCAAATGATCACTATTAATATTTTAGACTTTTTGTGTGCATTTATAAACAGATACAAATAATGAAAAGTATATTTTTATATTCACACAGGAATACATACATAGCTATGCTGTTTAACCACCTATGAAGTTTTGTTTAGCCTCTTATTTATTTAGGTACCATTGACTATGACAATTGCAATTGGATCGGACATGGAGGGTCAGCTTTGGACTGGTTCCAGCTTCATGGCACAAAACAATAACAACAATTATTAAGCAATTTTAATTCATTCTGATATTTTACTCAGGTGTATATGCTGACAGTCTTTTTCACACATATCTAAACTTCTCAAGTCACAGTTTAAAGAGCCCAGTTTAGTACTTGGAAAGAGCTGCACAACGCTCACCTCCACCTAATATATTTCCCAGAACTTTAAATAGCAAAATGATTTTGAGATGAGATCACATCAAGTATCTTGAGATGGAGGGATGATCCCGTGTAATCATAAGTATCATTACAGAAGAAGGGCTGATGAGGATTTGAATATAGAAGAAGAGAAAATTATGGGACCACAGCAAGAAAAGATTTGTTATCAGTGCAAAACCCGAAGGTCTCAGTCACCAGAGCTCCTTGGAAAGAAATATTGGAATGATGTAACTTCCAGCGAGGGAATTGACAAGGTTGCCGTCAAGTCAGAACTTACTCAGATATGACCCTCCAATGGTTTTCAGAGGATGTAAATTGGATGGGAGGAGATTGCCCATCTTTCTCCCATGAAAAGCTGGATGATTTGAACTGCCTGACTTTGGATTGCCAGCACATTAGGCCACCAGAACTCCTTCCCTTGGAGCTTATAAATACAAAGAAAAAGAACTTTGTCTTTTCCCTTCAACAGAGACACTATCAGGCTCTGCTTGAGATCTTGCCTCCAGCAAGTCGAACATGGTATCATGTTATTCCCCTTGAGTTGAGTCTGACTCAGAGCTACCCTCCATCATCCTTCTGAAGCTATGAATCTTTACAGAACAAGCCTGAACATCATAGGTCTCCCTTGGAACCCTTGGTGAACTCAAAGCTCTGGAGACACATGGTCTTTTTTTGTTAACAGTGTAACATGCTACAGGTTACCCAGCAGGATTCTTTACTATGCTCTAAATCCTTGCAATGTTATCCATCAGCTCTTAGCACAAAGTATAAACTCCTGAAAATAGCCCAGAATTCCTATATCATCTGCCTTTGTCTACCTTACTAGTTCATCTGGTACCACTTTTCTGATCTATAAATATCTCTATTTATCCTTTGCTCTCAAATTAAATGTCCCTTTGCCTC